GAGGTGGGTGATGAGCTGATGAATGGATCGCTCGACGCGATTCGGCGTGAAAATATACGCAGGAGCGGCCCCAATTGGAGTCGGATTCAAATTCAAATTCGAGTTTTCGTTGGATTGCCGCCCGCGTTTTCAAAACGCAGCTTAACTGTGCATTGCAGACAGACGCTAATTGGGTTGTTTCTTTCTTTCTTTCTTGGCTGTTGCGTTTTCGCTTGCAATCTTTTCAATTCCAAATCGGCTGTGCATTGCTTTCCAGGGCGGCCCATTGTGGGCACATTGCTCCTGTGGTCTCCCATTTACTTCCGGAGGGTGTTTCCCACTTGCAATATGCGGATGATACAATTATCTTGGTGGAGCTGGATGACACCTGCATTGCCAATCTTAAATTCATCCTGTCGTGTTTCGAAGCTGTTTCGGGTCTTAAGATTAATTTCGCTAAAAGTGAGGTCCTGGTGACGGGTGTGGATGAGGCGGAAGCCTTGCGGGTTGCCAGGCTTCTGAACTGTTCTTTGGGTTCCTTTCCCTTTAAATATCTAGACCTTCCTATCTCTCCTGGCGTGCTCCATGCTAAAGATTTCGCTCCGGCGGTCGCTAAAGTGGGGAACAGGGTGCTCCCTTGGAGAGGCAGATATAATACCAATGCTGGCAAAGTTGCTCTAATTAACTCCTGCTTATCCTCTCTCCCCATGTTTCTTATGGGCTTCTATCTTCTTACGGATGGCGTGCATGCTGGCTTCGACAAACATAGGGGAGCCTTCTACTGGAATTCCGCGGATAACAAACAGAAATATAGGCTGGTCAAGTGGCAGCATATGTGTAAGCCTAAAAACCGTGGGGGTTAGGTATTATTAATACTCGGGTGATGAACATTTGTTTGCTTATCAAGTGGTGGTGGAAAATTTTAACTAGTGGGGCTGACTCGCTTTGGTTCTCGATTCTTAAGGCTAAATACTTCCCACATTCCAACCCGTTGTTTGCCACCGCGAGGCGCGGCTCTCAATTTTGGAAATCCCTTGTCAAAGTCAGACCTATTTTCCTGGAACATGTTAAATTTAATGTTGATAATGGGATGGCAGTCCGCTTTTGGTTGGACTGGTGGTCGAGGGATGCCCCCCTCGCTGAGAGTTTTCCGGTTTTGTTCTCTTACTGTCCTAATCCGGGTATCTCCATCACGGAGGTGGCGGCTAATAACTGGGCTCTGGCCTTTCGTCGGGCCCTGTCTCCTGAAGAGTTGGAAGATTGGCAAAGTCTCTCGGCCCTCTTCCCCGTGCTCTCGGAGTCGGCCGATTCTGTAGTCTAGCCTCATTCGGCCTCAGGTAGATTTACGGTCAAGTTGCTTTATTCTAGACTTATTGGTGGTACTTCTTCGACCAGATTCTCTTGTGTTTGGAAGTCCAAAGTTCCTCCTAAGATTAAAATTTTCCTTTGGCAGCCTTTCGTGGTCGCCTGCCGGCTGCTGACCAGATTAAAAAGCGCAATGGGCCTAGCTCGGATTTCTGTCATCTATGTGGGGCCTTGGAGAACTCTGATCACATCTTTTTCAATTGCGTGCTGGCCAAGCTGGTTTGGTGTTGTGTCAGATCTTGGCTTCAGGTCTCTTGGAACCCCTCCTCTTTCTTCGATATTCGAACCCTAGCTAAAGTTTTGGTTGGGGTCACCAAGAGGGTGTTTTGGGTTGGCCTGGGTGCCTTATGTTGGGCTCTGTGGACCATTAGGAACAAATTTACTATTGAGCATATCTTCCCATCTAAGCCTGCTGACGTTCTTTTCAAATCATGTATATTATTGCAGCAGTGGAGATCATTGACTAAGGAGGTTGATCGGGATGCCCTGGACCTGCTCATCGACAAAATCCGGGCTTCGGCATCTCACATCTCCGGACGGGATCCTGTCGTCTAATCCTGGTGGTGCTGTTTGCGGAGTTTAGGTCTCACTCCTTTCCGGCCTGTGCGCCGTGTATGGCAGTTGCCTGTATCCATCCTTCCTTGGCTACTCTTATATACTTTTCGTTCCGTGCGCTGTGTGCGTTTTCCTCGTTAACTGGTCTCTTTTCTGTTTGGTCTCGTGACGCTGTCATGTGACTTTATTTATAAAGTCAGGCTCTGGCCTTTTCTCTAAAAAAAATCGGCTGTGCGTGTTCGTGCGTTTTTCCCTTGCAATCTTCGATTCCCAAATCTGATACACCAGCGCCCTTGAGTAGTTTGAAATGGGCCAAAGTTCAAAGGGTTGTGGGCTTGTGTAAACAAATTCAGATTTCCCATCTATTTCTGTCACACAATGTAAACAACAAGCATTCTGCAGTTCAAATGATCAACTGTTGTTCCTGATCGTATGCTACCACATATCTGTCTTGGATCAACACCGGATCGTTTCAGAGGCCAAGCTCGAAGTTAAGGTGACTGCAACCTGGGACCTGTTGATTATGGACTTGTGATTTTGTTGTTGTTCCATGGGTTGACACTTTGTCAGTTTGCTCTGTTGGTCACCCGAAAAAAAAACATTTGCTCTGTTGGAAGGCTAACTTGTTGGTAGTTGAGAAAATTACAAGAATCGCCATCGAACTTGCTGGCGCGTAACGATATATTGTGCTTTCAAGAAAAAAATTGAGGAGTTTATGCTTTCAAGATATGTTGCCAATGAAGCATGAGGTACCAATGGTTGAGCATTTGGGTTGTCACGACACAGGTTGTAACCGTCTAGGGGTAGCCCATTTTATTAGGTATTGATTTTGCATCATGATAGTACCATAAGCATCATATTTATTTAATTTTAATATGTGAAAGGGGGATAATACCAATCATCGCCTTTATTAAAGTAGAAAACCCTAAAATTTTGCCAATTGTCCAAATACCCTTTCCAAACCCTAAATATTTTGAAAAAAGCCTGATATTCATTAAGTGGGTCCTTCCAACCCAAAGTGGTCGGACCCTTCCCTGGACCCTGCGCAAGCGGGAGCTACATGCACCAGGTTGCCCTTTTTTTTGCATTAAACCCTAATTAAAACTACAATATTTAATAAAATGCATTTATTTGATATATTTAAATCGAGGGATTTCACATGGTAATTTCTCTTTAAAACCTATAATTAGCCTCCCAATATTATTAGGAAGGTATGGCAATTTGTTCCAAATTTTGTAACACACTTATAGTTCAAACCCATTTAGTAATTAAATTAGGATTTTAGTCCAGAGAGGCTACACAAACAATTCAATTAATATGAAGCCCCCAAACATAAATTAAATAGGAGTTATCGCAATTTAATTTATAAAAGCTAGTGAAACCTCGTTGTGTGCAGTTTAAGTAAACTGCACCCATGAGCGTGGTGTAGCTGGTACGACAGCAGGCCGGCCCATGTATTCAGAAAATGTTAAATTTATACATTAAAATGTTAAACATGTATTAGAAAAATGTTTCCTACATATAGGAAAAATGTAGAATGAAAATTAGAAGAAACAAAGGAAAACCAAAATAGAAGGAAACCGATAAAAACTATAAAAGACACAAAGTAAAACCAAAACAAAAAAGGGATATAAAAAAGAAAAGAAAAGAAAAAATGAGAGAAAACCGAACAACATAGAAGAAAAAGAAAGAAGGAAACCGAGAAAAATAGGTGAAAAAAGAAAGGCAAAACAAAACAAAAAACCAAGAGACCCGGGGTTAAATCCTAGTTTCCCATTTTTCTTCTCTCTTTTTTTTGAACGTGCACTAACAGGCTGACCAGATAGCTTTTTTTAGGGGTAAAGCCACTTTATTGATCAAACTTCGCAGAAGGTAGGATACAAACTAGATCATGTGGCTGGCCAAGCCACACATGGCACCCCTGAGCTAGATTAAGAGCATACTTCGCTAAACTATGAGCTTCAAAATTAACAATTTGACACTCAAAAATAAAAGTACAAGAAAAAGGAGCTGATCTGGACTTGATTTCGTTGATGATAGCTCCATAAGCACCCTGGTTGCCTTTCTGGATGTCACCATCAACTTGTTTAGATTCTGAAGATATAACGAAGTAGTGGAGCTAAAGATATTGAGCCAAGGAAATCGCCTCCCGATATGAAATGGACTCCAGCGCCGCAGGGTCAAAAACCTGCGGGAGCATTCGCTTCAGCGAGACCTGAGTAGTACTCGCCTCTCTTTTTTTAAACGTGCACTAACAAGCCGACCCAATAGCTACAACGCGGGTGCATTCACTTCAGCGAGACGGAAGCAGCGCTGACGTAAAGCAAGATGTAGTCGCCGCGGTCTCTGGGGCCGAGTTAAACGGGTTCTTTTGGGAATCAAGTCGTTGTGGTCTTGATTAGTTTTTGGTCCATACATATATAATTGCTAATGGCCCATACTTATATGGGCCTACTTTGGCCGGAAACTCAGGCGCAATACTTTTGACCGATTCTTCCAGAATCTTGAGAATCGACCCTCCATCCAGCTTTTTCCAGAATCTTGTATCCAACTTTTTTTTACAATCCTAGTTGTGTGGGTTCAAGAGAAAAAGCTGGGTGGAGGATCGATTTTGATTATGAAAGAATCGGCCAAAAAAACCGGGCCTCAAAAACACAGAGACTGCAGCCCAATGAAACCCAGACCACTAAACCTCACTTAAGACAAAGATTCCAGTGGTTAAATGACGACAAGATTGCGAGATTTCCATCGCCGACACAAACTTCCAAAGCCCGAAGGGCATCTTGCTTCCAAGAACACCAAAAAGGAAGGCCGAGACAGTACGCGAGAGAAGACAAGGACATGTCCGAGCCAAGGATGAGGCCGAGTCGACCAGAGCTGTCCGTCCGATTTTCTCCCACCTATCCACAGGGAGGGCCGCCCCGCCCCTGTGTGGCAGACGGACTCAATCCGCGAGTGTTGCTCCTGCTTCACTCACTCGATGCTCTGGCTGGCTGCCCCGATTTTCCCACGACGTGGACGTCGGGTGAGATAAAGATGAAGATGAGCAGAACATAGAGAAGGGAGAAGAGAGAGCGGCGAGCTTGCGTGAGTGCTCCAGGATGCAGACCGATACTCAGTTCACCTCGGCCGCGATGAAGAGGACCAGCGACTGGTACGTACCTTCCCTCTGCTGCCTGTTTGAATCTACGAGCTCGCCATTACTTTCGCGCCATGAAACTGTTTTCAAGCAAGCAGCAGCGTGCAGTGACAACCCGTATTTTATATGTGGAACAATCACATACTGCACCTGAAGTTCCTTATGAGGATTAGCACTAGTTCATGAGCTCGATCCGACAATTTTTTCAACTGGTTGGTGCAGGATCCGTTCGCAAGAATTCCCGAGCGATATTACCATCCAAGTCGGGGAGAGCAGCTTCAACTTGCACAAGGTAACCAGCCAACCAACCCCACCTTCGATTCGATTCTTACCGCGCGCTTAGAAACCACATGGAAAAATCAGCAAAAATCCTGAGTTCTGATGGCAAATTCTGCAGCTCCCACTGGCGTCTAAATGCGGCTACATAAGGAAGCTGGTGTCGGGGGCCAACGGGTCGAGGGTCACCCACCTCGAGATCGCGGGCATGCCCGGCGACGCCAAGGCGTTCGACCTCGTCATCAAGTTCTGCTACGGCGTCAACTTCGAGATCACCGCCGACAACGTCGCCATGCTGCGCTGCGCCGCCGAGCACCTGGAGATGACCGAGGAGTGCAAGCCCGGTAACCTCGTCGGCCGGACCGAGGCCTACCTGGAGGAGGTTGCGCTGGCGAGCCTCGAGGGCGCGGTCACCGCGCTCCGCAGGGCCGAGGAGCTCCTCCCGGCGTCCGACAAGGTGCAGCTCATTGGCAGGTGCATCGACGTCATCGCGACCATGACCTGCGGCGACGGCGGCCATGAGGGGCTGGACGACGTGGACGCGCCACCGAAGCCTGTCGATGACTGGTGGGCCGACGAGCTGACGGCGCTGAGGATCGATACTTTCCAGAGGGTCATGATCGCCATGAAGGCCAGGGGGTTCAAGGGCATCGCCATGGGGACGATGATCATGCTCTACGCTCAGAAGTCCCTTCGAAGACTGGTAATCGAGTCGAACACATCACCTAGAGCACAGTATATACTGTTGCTATAGCTAACGTCTGACAATGTCGACTTGTAACTTGTTGCAGGACATGAACGGGAGGGAGCGGAAGAAGATGGAGCCGAGGCAGGAGCACGAGAAGCGGGTGGTGCTGGAGACGATCGTGAGCCTCCTGCCGAGGGAGAAGAACACCATGTCGGTGAGCTTCCTGTCGATGCTGCTCCGGGCGGCGATCTACCTCGACACGTCGCTGGCGTGCCGGCTCGACCTGGAGACGCGGATGGCCGCGCAGCTCGGCCAGGCCGTGCTCGACGACCTGCTCATCCCGTCCTCCTCGCCCGAGGGCGCCGGCACGGCCTACGACGTCGACGCGTTGCAGAGGATCCTCGCCGGCTACCTCGAGAACGAGGGCGAGGCGACGCGCCTGGACTACAACACGGACGACGACTTCGCCTCGGCGGCGTCGCCGCCCAACGACGTCGGCCCCGTCGGCAAGCTCATGGAGAGCTATCTCGCCGAGATCTCCTCGGACGTGAACCTGCCCGTTGACAAGTTCACCGGCCTCGCCGAGCTCATCCCGGAGCGCGCCCGGTTCAACGAGGACGGCATGTACCGCGCCATCGACATCTACCTCAAGGTCCGTTCATTATAATCGATCTTCATTCGTCTACTTGTTGTTATAGTGGATAGTGCTCAGATGTGATGGATGGTTTGGGCAGGCGCATCCGTCGGTGGGCGAGGGCGAGAGGACGAAGGTGTGCGGCGTGATGGACTGCCAGAAGCTGTCGCGGGAGGCGTGCGCGCACGCGGCGCAGAACGACCGGCTGCCGGTGCAGACGGTGGTGCAGGTGCTGTACCACGAGCAGCGGCGCCTCCGCGTGCCGCCGCCCTCGCAGGCGCAGTCGTACGCCGGGGGGGAGTCGCCGGCGCTGTCGTACAGGCCGACGCCGAGCTTCAACGGGCGGGACCGGAGCGCGCCGTCCAGCGAGGTGTCGCGGCTGCAGCGGGAGAACGACGAGCTGAGGATGGAGCTGATGCAGATGAAGATGCGCCTGAGGGACCCGTCGGTGGCGGCGCCGGCCCCGGCGCCGACGCTCGCGGCGGGGGGCACCCGGAGCTTCCCGTCGTCGGGGAAGCCGCCACTGCCGAAGAAGCAGGGCGGCAGCGGCGGAGGAGGCGGCGGCGGGTTCATGAAGAAGCTCGGGCGGCTCAACCCGTTCGTGCGCGACCCTCTGGCCGGCGGCAAGGTCCGCACGAAGCCGCCCAAGGATCGCAGGCACTCCATTTCTTGACACTACCGGATGGTGTAATCTAATCGTCAGTTGAAGATAAATAAGCATGTTAGCATGGACGTAGCACTGTACAGCTTTGTAATCTGCGTCACAGTTCGTGTCAAGTTCCTGCAATGAAGAAACTCAGGCCATTGTAGCAAATTTTTGCAGCTCGGGGTTCAGTCAGTGTAGTGCAGTTCTGTTCCACTGGCCACCTGCTGCGATGTGGGCCGATCGGATCACTGCGCTCTCTACGATTACCACAACGTTGGAAGATGGAAGCATCTGATGTCGATCTCCACGATCCTATCCCGTTTCTCGTGGGGGGATTGCGATAACGTTGGTATGGCTAGCAATGCATCCCCAGCTCAGGACAAACGACAACGAGCACCGAGACGTGGCTTGGAATTTGGCCCTGGTAGATAACCACGCCATATGGGCACGGGACAATCCTTGCACCAAACCAAGAGGCGAAAATGAAAAGAGATCAGTGGATTCCCATTCTCCGATTCTAAGAAAAGATAGCAACATTGCTCCCCTACTCATCATGGATCAGTCGGCAACACATGTCTAGTCTAGGCTCACTGTATGCACAATACACGACAATTCAGGGCAAAACTCAACCAGTTTGGTTCAGGACATCAAGCGTTTCACAGGGCACGAGCCTGCCTGGGTCAAAAGAATCCTAGTAGAGTCCCACAGCAACACAATGTTCAAAGACAAGCCATTACTTACCTATTCCATTTTTTACATAGGTGTAATACTAGATACGTGTGTGTCTCCACAGGCGCACATCAGCTTCCGATCACGATGCGATTAGCTGTGCCACTCTATCCAGATGTCGCTAAACCGTAACTTGGGCGCACAAAAAGTCAAGCTATATCTTCCTCGTTGTTTTCATCGGGAAGCCATCGACCAGAAGTTCAGCAGGAAGGAGGGCGTGAGGGCAAACCAGCTCATGAACGCCATCGCCGTCGCGGTCTCGAAGCTGCCACAGTGGTTCTCGGCACAGATGTTCAGGTCGTTGTCGATCAGGACGGTGATGCCTGCCGACGAGCATGCTGCGCCGAAGATGAGTGCTGCCGTGATCTACCAAGAAACAGCCATGATCACTATATTAGACCTCACACAGTCAAAAGACAATGCATTTATAATTTCCAGGGTGAAACTAACATGCAGGAACTTGCAATAAAAATGCAGTTTCATTCAATTGTCGTAACCTGAGCACGTATTTTATCTCACTGCAAGATTTCTTAGTCTATACACCACACAGCCAATATTGCTAAAAAGAATGATGGAAAAGCGGTAAGTTACTAGATACATGGAAAAGTTCACATGGGTAACACATTTTATATATATATATCTCAGCACATATTATTTAGATCAAAAAAGATGATACAGTAGATTGACCAAGTGAATCTCACAAGCATCAGAGACATGAACAGAGATGTCTATTGACTTACCCCATCTCCAATCGCAAACAGGCAAACAGCGCGGCGGTTCCTTAGACAACGCTTAACAAGCAATGCATAGATATCGACAATGGCAAGCGAGAAGCTCCACAGGCATTGCAATATGGTTGCTGCAACAAGATAGCTGACCAAAACAGCACTCCGTCAGTTTGTCAGAAACTAGAAATATAGAATAGCACTACCAGAGTAAACTTGAGAGAAGAAGAAACAAGCAAATAAACTAGACACAGCAGAGCTTCCTTTTATAACTCCAAAGCATGAACACAATATGTGTTGCTTGCTGTAAACTGGGCTAACAAAGAAGTGCCCACCCATGTCTATCTCACTAAAATACAAAATTTAGATCATCCACTCATCAAAAATGCAAATGTTGAATTTCTGTTACGCACAGGCATGCCCATATAATAAGCAGTAACAAAACCAGAGAAACTTATATGTTCAAGAAGGCTTAGCTAAATAAACTTGGAAAATATAAAAGGAGCACCATGATAGTTTTAGATGCATAAGTGTAAATTGATTCCTCTTAAAATGTTACACTGAAGTACTCCCTCCGTTCCTAAATATTTGTCTTTCTAGGGATTTCAACAAGTGACTACATACGGAGCAAAATGAGTGAATCTACACTCTAAAATATGTCTATATACATCCGTATGTAGTAGTTCATTTGAAATCTCTAAAAAGACAAATATTTAGGACAGGGGGAGTACATAGTATGATCGGATTTCCACATTGTAGTATGACCCTAGGGGTATTTTTTTATCTAATATCATTCAGAATAACTACATAATTAACTTGAAAGGTTGGGACTAAGTCGTTCTGTACAAACCCAACATACTTGTACCAGGAATTGTATAGTAAGGTAAACAGTGCCACAAGCGTAGTTTGTATCAGGAAGACCTTGGTTTATATATATGAATTCGGAAGGGGTGGCCCCTCTTTCTTAAAAGAAAAAAATTCCCAGAAGCACACACACACACACCCCTTTCATTTTATCAAAAAGTTACTTTGAAGTACGTATGATAGCAAAAATAGGAAAATGCCTGCTAGTCCCCCAGTCTTTGCCAAAAGGAAATTTTGCGCTACAACTCAATTAAGGGTGTGTTTGGTTGGGGTCACCAAATGAAATGTAATGGGTCGGTTGCGTCCCCAGAGCCCATTCCAGTGTTTGGTTTGTCAAAGGAACGAGAACCCCCGCCGATTCCAGAGAATGGCATATTCCCTGTTTATGCAGAACTAGGCGGTACCTCCAAATTGAGCGGACGACACAGAACGGCTCGCTCGACTTACGCTCGTCTTTCCTCCCCGAAGCCACATCTCCCTCCCCAACCTTGCGCGCGCCGCCGCCATCAGCCCCACGGCGCGCGGCCATCAGCTGCCCTGGCCACCCCCACATGTCCCCCTCCGCTGCGCCGCAGCTCCCTCCGCAACCTTGCATGTGCTCCCGCCGATAGCCCCACCGAGTGCGGCCATGACTGGCCACCGCCACATCCTTGCGCTGGTGCTGCTGGCCGTCCCGCCGGCTGCATCCCAGCCGGGCGCACTTGACGTGTCCCACCGAGCAGGGAGGTCGGGCAGCCCTCTCACTCATCTTCTTCAGCCGAGCAGGGAGGCCGGGCAGCCCTCTCACTCATTTCCTTCCACCCAGGCATGGAGGCTGGGCGCTACTAAGGCACCATCGTCGGGGAGCTTTGGCTGCTGGACCAAGGAGCCCGTGGTGTGCAGTGACATTTGCTGTGGGTGTTTCTCCAGATCAATATACTGCAGCGTCAAGTACATCTGTTCTTCTGCATTCAGTGTTTCGTGGGTGTTCTTCTGTACTGCAGCGTCAAGTACATTTGTTTATTACAATCGATGTAATCAAGTGTTCTTCAACATTCAGTTCAGTTTAGTTTTCTATCAAAATCTAATTCGGTATGAATCAATGTAATAAAGTGAGACAAACAATTTCATTACATTCCATCTCTCAAACCAAACACCAAAATGTAACCATTCCATTCCTCGGAACTGCTCCTACCAAACATAAGGACGGAACCGACCCATTCTAGTGGAATGGAACCATGACATTCTGTTCCACTTCGTTCCCAAACCAAACACACCATAAAAGAACTTCATAATATGGATAAGACATAAGGGATCTCTGTTTTACTCTGGTAGATAATGTAACAACCCACTGTTCTGCCCATGGCAGTTTCATAAATAGTGAACAGAAATGCAGTTTAGTACATTGAGGATAAGTAGAAAAGGACATGTGGATGTGATATTTATGTTCCTATTGTAGTTCACTAGTTTGTAATATGGGGATCGTACCCCTGAGATATTCAGTAGACATTGAACCACAAAGCAAAACCGTCAACAACAACAAAAACCCTATTTCATATTGTAGTTCACCAGTTTGTGACATGTTCATATGCATGTGGTGGCATTATATTCCTATGATGTGACATGAAATTGCATGTTTTTTGGAAGTAGCAAATAGGTTAATCTTACAATTAGTTTCTTTGCTTCTAGAATCCTTGGCTTCATATAATTAACCTTACTAATAAATTCAGAATTCAAGTACTGCGCGCACTCCCTTGTTTTTGACACTTCGATCCAGCATACTGTCATCTCACCTTGAAATCGTGCACGTTCAGTGGAATAGCACATATATGCAGGGGATTGTACTACAACACAGAATTGTCAAAATAAATAAATAAATACACCCTATTTCTGGATAACAATAGTCTTCACATGATTACATTTGCTTGCCCCCTCCATAAATATACTGTACTATGTATACTTATCCGCCTTGTAAATGTTTAAAGCAACTTTCTATGCATGCCAGAACACAAGTGCCTTACTAATACATTTAAGCACATTTTTGTCATTTTTTCAGAGGAGAAGTCCGTTATCGTTAGAATTTGTTTTTAGCTGCCTATAGTATGCAGTACTAGATAATGATACACAGGCAGTAGTAGGCCACTACAGATAAGCTGATGCCTTTTAGTCCTCATCACTGAGGCAATCCATTACATTCAAAATGGAGAAAGTCGGCCAGAAAGATCAGAAGGTAAGTGTAACGAACTTATAGTCCAGAAGGTATAGTGTACTGAGGTTGGTACCCAACTGCCTCCAAATCCACACTCCTATAGTTCGTTATGAGCTGGGTTTAGCATAGACACATGTTCTCCACAATTTGTATTACAAGCATCACTCCAACCTTTGGGAACCTATTACCGAAATGAGCTAAGCTCCAACAGATGGAGTGATTAGAGTACATAGCGGATCAGATTTTCCGTTCCTGAACACACCGAATTCCCCACGGCCCCAAGCTTTAAGAGCGCACGCACACTTGACCCACCGGTGCATGTGAGATCATATTTCCTTTCTCGAGCAACGATTGGAAGTAGTAGTGGAATTGTAAAGCGATTGATGCTCGGGCCGTACAGAGCCAGTTGGGGCAAATACTAGTACTAGCGCGGATGATGAGAAATTAGTGGGATGGGGACTGGGGAGGAAGGTTACCAGAAGGCGCTGACGGAGGGGAAGTCGTTGGTGGAGGCCATGACG